TGTAAGTCAAAACGAAAAGTTTTTTTTTCTTTTCTTACGTTCTGACTCAGCCTGGATCGCGACAGATGCCATACGTGTTTTCAATTTAAATTGTTTCACTCTAAAAAGTAGAGATATATCACCTGTTCACGCGGTCAAATGCGTTTCCAAAATGGCATCCTCCTGCAACAAGACAAGAAGCAGTGTACCAGCATCTAAAGATTTCTGTAAAACCCTTTTTACGTATATGCAACTTAGTTTAGAATTAACGTACAATTCTTTATTCAGTATGGGCTATTTTTAGGGGCCATCTTACAAATCCTGTGAGGTAAACTGCATTGTACAATACGTCAAATTAGTCTCGAATTATGATTTGTTCTTACTTATGGTCTATTAGACGACAAATGCATAGATGACTTCATTAACTTTTTTTTTGTTATTGTACAAAAATGTTTATCTCATGTTGTCGTGCGTCCGCTGAGTATTAGCGTAAATCCACTAGCGTTCTATCACGAATGCCGTTCTATGATTGGCTACGCTACTCACTATCTATTCTGTGATAGATACTGAGTGACGTAGCAGTGTATCCTCGTTAACAAAATGACGGCCGCTTCTTGGCGTTTTCGAAGTGTCTGTGAAGCGGATTTAGATAAAGTTTTGAGCGACTAGTAGATTTATACTAAAATAATTAGATTATTCGCTCTCGATTTCTATGCGTGATAGAAATCTTGAGCTCATAATTTAATTGCTTAATAGGTCACAGATGACGTCAAAATGTGTTAAGAAAATTATTGAAAGACTCGGTATCGTCCTGTGAGTCACTTTATTTTGATCTTACCACATTTTGACGAATCTGTGTTATATAACTGACGCACGGCAACATGGAATCTATTTGGATAAGGGGATAAAGCATTTCGTTTTTTGGAGATTTCCCTCTTTCAATTTGGAAAGAATTGGACAGGCCAATCTACCACACCAAGTCAATCTACCACACTTCAAGTCAATTTCTTATGGTAGCCTTCATTAATTGAGCTGTTATTGATTAATTAATTAATTAATT